TGCAGTTGGATGGACACGCAGACATCTAGATCCAGGCGTGGTGGAGGTGATGGTGGCAGCACAGGGAACTGAGGTGAGGCCACCGCTGAGGTGGGACCCTGGTGGAACCAGCCTGCAGTGGGCAACTGATAACGCCACAATCATTTCTTGCCCAGCTAAATTTCTGTCTGACACCTCTGAGGAACCTTTTTACCACCCAGAACTTCCCCTCCCAACACCAACAGTGGTGATCTTCCCTTCTGCTGGCTCCTTTCCACCTTAAACTTTCAGGGACAGATTCCTGACATCCATAACTTATTTCTGTTTGCCACACACCACTGTAGCAAACAGCCCCCCTCACACATTTTGGTCAGTGGTTCCTTCAACATTTACTTTAAATCTTTGCAGATTACGCTCAGACAATAGCCCTGTGGTTGCTCCTTGTTTATCAATACTTCTGTACTTATATATTCTCCAAGTATATTTTCAAAACATACCACTCATTCAGAGAGCTGTTAAAGAGCATTGCTATTTGATGAGTAAGCAAATGTGGTATTTTCTATTGCGACTGCAGGAAAGAAACTATTGCTTTTTCCTGGAAAAAAGTGCAATAAACTCTGAATTTGCTTCTGTCTCAATTCCTGTAGTTCTTGCTTCCATACCCCAAATCGCATTCTTGGCTTTCCTCCCACAGTCCTTTAGCCAATACATCTACTTTAAATCTCTCCCTTATCCTCATTGCATCATTTCCCACTTATTTATACCTTGCTTTTCCTATTCGAGGGTCTGGAAAAGATTTCTGCTGCATTTCAACCATGCTCACCAAAGACAACTTAGCTGGACTTGTGCATATTTTCACTGTATTCCTAGACTTTACCAGCCATCCCCAACTTACTTGGCTGAACAGTCACTTTTCCAATCCTTGTTAGCTTTCTTTTAATTCTTTTTTGAGGTGGCCATTACCTGGCTGGTTTGCAAGTCCTGCCTTACAAATTTAGTTGACATTTAAGGTCCTCATAATTGCTGCCCTTCTATCCTGTGAAGAGCCCGGGCTTTGGCTAGTCATCCCAGCTGCCTGCACAGCAATTCCTTCGTATCAGGTCCAAACGCCTTAGTCACGGGCGTCCTTGCATTTCAGCTGAACTGTTTCAACCCTTCAGCGTGCGAAACAGCATTCAATCCTGCAATCGGTGCTTCCTCCCCTGCCAGGGCTGTGAGCCTCAGTCCGCTCCTTATCACAGGTCTGCCCTCCAGAACTTGTATTTCCCATGCTGTTCCTTCTTCTCCTTTTGTGCATGACTGCCTTCAGGTCACAGCCTGAACTCTACCACCACCTTTAAGAGCACATCTAGTCTAAGGTGAATTTTATCAGCCTAAAGAGTTTCTGTCATTGCCTACCCAAAGCCAAGGTACACTGTACAGCTTCTGTATCTCGTCATCTCAGTCTTGCAGCGTAACTGCTTAGGGTGTCCTCCAGCACTGCCACTGCCACCTCTTCTCCTGTCTGCCTTGAGAAAGCAATGAAATAAATACCCCAAGCTCTCCTGCCAGCCCCACTCCTCATTGCTTCCCCTTCTCTGGCACCCTGGTCTGTGGCTGCAAGGCTTCCTCAAGTCTTTCGCCTAATCATCAGCTCTGCAGCTTTGTTTAAGCTCAGCTGCAGTGTCAGCCTCGTATTCCCTTCAGAGTGCACTTTCTTGTTGTTTTAGAAAAATGCAGTCCAAGCACAAAGCTTATTAAATACGTACTGAAACCAATAAACTGCCAAGTGACAGATAAACAAATTATCTTCTCCTCAGGCAACCTCCTCGGAAGGTTACTTCTCCCTCCCCAGGGAGGCACAAGATCTCATTTATGTGATGTCCTGATAACACGTGCAGATCTGCACTACAATAATGACTGCACAAATGACATGCTTCAGGCCTTCAGCCACTTGCCTGCTGAATCCAGGAAGGGACTATTCTCAGTACAAGATTGGCCAGGTTATTTCTGAAGACTTCTTTGCTTTTTTCCGAAGCACCGGGGATCAGCAGTAGGCAGGACACAGTATGGGACAGAACAGTGCTGAGACGGCAAAGAGGGTCCTCCCTCTTGCAATTGATATCTACCTGCATAATTTTCTGATCAAATTTATTACCAAATTTGGCAATAAATATTATTCCAATCTTCCACTGTCCTCTCAGACTGGTGAGGCATTCAGTTGCTCTTGCCTTCCTGGATCATCTCAGCTCTGCAACGTACCTCTGCTTCTTCTGTTTTCTGAGGTATGGTTCCCACTTCTGATTTACAAAGCCAGAAATGTCTTCACTCGTGTCAAATTATCGGCATCAACATATATGTTGTAGAAATTTAATGGTATATAGAGGAAACCAGGCAGGCAATTTAACTTCCTCCTACTTTTTAAATGTAAGAAAAATCTTTTTTACTGCAAGAGCTGTCAAGGACTGGCATGGGTTGCCCAGAGAGGTTCTGGAGTCTCCATCCTTGCAGATACTCAAAACCTGATTGGACATGGCCGAGCAAACTGCTCAACCCTGTGTGAGCAGTTGGGCTGGAGGAGTCAATCTCAGTGGTGGCTGCCAGCCTCAGAGAGTCTCCTTTCTGTAACCTAACAGGCTCCTCTTGCCTAAAATGCTGTGAAATCAGTCCAAGTCAGTGTTCAACTGTTCATTTAAAGCGAAAGAGATTATTAAACACTCAGATGTTGAGAGAAACGCGCTTGCTCAATAGTACTGTGGCTGTCTACATCAACTGCCTCATGGATGTAATAGCTAAAGTATGGAACAACCACCTCTTGCTCGAGTCCTGCTGCTGCAAGAATCACCCAACTGGGTGCTCAGACCCAAACCTCCAGCAGACGACCACGCAAGTCTCCACCCAAAAGGGAGAGGAGGCCTTGGTGAACTCCCGAGCAACAAGTGATGGCCACTGGTGGACTCCACAAAGAAGCGGACACTGTCATGTCTGCCACAACGCGTGCAGACTTCCCACCGGCAGCTAGATCAGTCCTTCAGCACGTTCTTTGCCAACTTACTTTGCCTAAAGCAAACTTTTGATAGGGATGACAGAACCAAGACAGCCCTTGCCTTTGCAATCACGTGCCATGGCAGAGTACTGCCCAGAGCACACAGCTATCTGTCAGCTTGATGAAATGTGTTGTGTATAAAACTGAAACTGCCCTCAAGTTATTAAAAAAATTTTTTAAAAAATCAAAACCTCATTAAAACATACATTTTATAATGCTTACCAGGCTTGATACTGCAAAGTCAGCTCAGCAAGACAAAAAAAAATCCCCTACCTCTAGGCTCCATCAACTCCTTTTTGTGACCCCCATGGACGTGGCTGCAAGTCCTCTGTGTTTTCACACACATATGAACATATACATATAAATCCAAGTTCACACGTGTTAATTTTTTCCTAAATCGTTGAAGAACCAGAAAGTTCATCCTTCTGCATGCCAAAAATGGCCATTTTTAGCAGAATCAGACATCCTCCCAAAAGCAACTAAGAAAGTGATCTGCAAACTTTTCCAAATGGTTGCTTTGGTGCTTGTGGCTCTTTCACATTTGAAATAGCTGATTCTCACATCCCTCTCTTTGTGAAAGAAGTGGGAAGATTCACAGATCTGACTAATCTGAGCAACAGTACCTTGAAAAAAGAAGGGAAGCTGATTTCTAAGGACTGAAGTTGTAAATTCAGTTTGAACCTAGAAAGTGTGCCTAAATTTTCCTTTTTTTTTTTTTTTTTTTTTTTAAACCACCTAGACAGATGTATACCACAGCCAAAGGGAGAGAGGACAGAGATCAGGTCTCTGCTAACAAGCAGCATCTTCCGGTGCCTGTTTTTAGCCCTGCTTTCTAACCTCAGTTTTGCTGGCTAGGTTCTCAGGAGAAAGCCAAATCATACCTGAACACCTCCAGAGGCCCCAGACGATCCTCCTCTGGCAATAAAAAAAGGGGGCCCAGGAAAATGCTGAAAGCAGTTGTATTTGTGCCTGACAGCTGGCAATTCCAGCACAAGCTTAAGCAGCGTTAAACCTACGGCAGTTTTGGGGGAAACACTGGACAAAACTTGAATGTTGCCTTCTTCAGAAAACGTATGCTAAGAGCTAATACACTTCGTGTTTAATAGCTGTTGAAAAGGAAAATTACGACAGTGCACAAAGTACAGTAGATGTATCCAATATACCATGTCACACAGCGGGAATAAGGTGGTTAAAAAAAAAAATACAGTAAATCCTGATGTAGGCATCGATGATATTTTTGGCATTGAAGTAGCATATTTGATAAGAAGGAAGAAACCTGTACCAGGAGACATACTCCAGTGCATGGTACGTCACCGAGTAAGGCCACGAAATCCAAAACTCAGCCTTCAGTGGCACCAGAGCTTTTCTTCAGATTCATCTACCGCTCCTTCCGCAGCAGGAAAAAGGAAGGACAGCTGGAAGCGATGGCATGCCCTGGAAAGAGATCACCTCAGGAAATGTTTTTTTTTATGCTTTTAGGAAAATCTGATTATAGCCTAGGCTACCCCTCAGAGCCAATCCAGAACCTGCCTCATAGTAGTACGGTGGGGCTCGCTCCAAAAAAGTGCCAGGCCATCTTACCTGGACACACGGGACACTGCTATTTTGCACGCTCAGGGCAATTTTCATTCTTCTAAGATACAAAAAATTCAAAAATCTCCTTACTGACCAGACAGACTTTGTACATCTCCCAGTGCATTACTCAGTTCGGGTTACACCCATAAGCTCTTCGGCAATCACAGCAGGCATCTGCAAACCCACCACTGATCCATAGCACAGATCTTTTGGGTTAAGTCTAGCAATCGAGAGGTCTATGCCACCCTGTCACTGCTGAGAGGAAAAACCCCTTTCTTGGTGTTAAATCGGTTTGGGCAGCTGCCAGGGCCCAACTTATATGAAAGCAGAGAGCGCACGCTGCGCTGCCCAACAGAATCGCTCTACGTTGCACAAAGTGCCTGCTGAGCACTAGCGCAGGCATCTCTCCAGAAGGACTTACCTGAAGCAACCGGCGGCTGCTGAGCTAGCACGCGCGCAGGACCCAACTGGCAAGTAAAGCGGTCACTCCAACTTTCACTGTTACTCTTCGCAGAGACCATGCTCGTTCAACAGGTGAACAGCTTCACTGATCAGATGAAGAGTCAGACTCTGCGTGTCTCTCCCCTGTGCTATCTTTCTGTACAATCTGAAATAAACATTTTAATCTAAAATTGATCCAGTCTCCTAGTCCCGTATATTACGAATTCTCTCTACTTTTGCCACCTGTCACATTTTGCTAAAATTAACAAGAGCTAAAGTGGGAAAAACACATAAGAAAGCAGGCTCCAAGCCAACGTTTAATAATGCTGCCTGAAAAAGGACTAACGCAATACGCACAACATGGCACCATGTGGCATCGTCCATCAGCTCTTCACAGGACGATGGACTGTGGAAGGATGGTAAGCACACTTCGGGAGAAAATGAGAGCAAGGCAGAGCCTTGACAGTTCACTTCTGACTAAAAGAGAGAACACTGGAAATCTGAAGTTGCTGAATTTTTTTTTTCTTCCTTAATGGAACATTGTAAATGATACCAACTGACCTCCTCGAACACTCCAGATGGGGGAGCAGAGCACACCAACGGCACGTGTTTTCTTCTGCACTCTGCTTGTGGGATACAGCCTACTCATTTCAGTGAAAACCCAACTCTAACCAGAACGTGGGGGAAATCCGCAGATGTTCAGTACCCTAAAAAGGCTGGGTAATAAACAAATTTTTTTCTTAATAAAGAACTGACCTTGAATCGTGAAACGAGTCATTCTTCTCTTACACCGACAGTCTTCTCCTGGCCAAAGCAAAAGAGAGCAACCAGCACCCACGCGCGTGCGCTTCTGTGACTGAGCCAGCAAGAAAGGGAAGAGCGCTGAAGTTCATGCACATTTTTATTGAGTAGTAATATAAAATGCTTCTTTCATTGTTACAAGTGCATGCTTTGATTGCCAACATTTCGAAGTCAAATTACAAAGGCAAGGCTGTAGGCTGTAGTGAATTACTTGGGCACTTATACAATTGTTAAAAAATATCAATGGACTGTTTTGTTTTGTTTCTTTTTCTTTTTTAGAATGAACCAGTTGAAACCCGTAACTGATATACAAAGGGAAAAAAGTGAAAAAATCACACATTTTGTGGCACATGACAGAACAGAACAAAATGACTAAACCATTATGACATTAACAGTTATCATGCATTTAGAATTTCACATGTAACTACAAACTTATTTAAATTTCACAAGGTTTGCTAAACATGCTACCCATCTATATGTGCACTGACAAGCTTATGTTAAAAACTTTAAGAATACTCTCCCCTTAGATTTTTCAAAGCTTTTTTTGATTACAAAATTTCAAAGGCATTAAGCATTTTTTTTAGAGAATATAAAGTACGCCAGTATACATACATTTCCAGTATAAGTCAGACCACTAAGCGCATTACAGTCCCATACAGGCCTATACAGCCATTTTTTTTTAAAAAACATGCATAGGCAGATTTTTACAGAATATAGATGCTTTTCACTGCACTTAATATGGTGTCTTGTTCACTATACTTAAAAATGCACCACTCATAAATATTTAAATTCAGCAAGCCACAACCAAGACTTGATTTACCAAAAAAACCCAGAAAACCCCCCAAACCAAACCCCCCTAAATATAAACAGCAAAAAAAGATAAATGTTACAATTATTCCAGTTTTTTTTTTTTAAACAAAGAAAAGGATAATTGCTGCCAAATTAGTAAGATAAGTGTTATATTTAAAGAAGGGCATTGAAGCACACTAAAGAAACCTGAGGTAAGCATAATCTGTACAAAATTAAACTGTCGCTCTCGCTCGCTCTCTCACTCTCTCTCTCTTTCTTTTTTTTTGGCATTTTAAACAAATTTCCAACATTCTTTTTTTTTCTTTTTTTTTCTCTATATTTTTAAAGACTGCCTAATTTATTTCATAGCCATTGTCTGACAAGAGTAGCAAAACATTATCAATAAATAGTCCTTATTTAGTTTGTACATTTTGTTAAAAATGTTTCGATGTTGTCCATGTTTAGTGCTGCAACTGTAAACGTACAATAGTTAGTAAGAAATTAAACAAAGTTTTCATGTCCAGTAACATAATAAAAGGCCTTTCAGCAACATATCTAGACGTTCCCAATGCAGTAGGAAAACATGTTCATTCCCCTAACTTTGCAATATATACCAGCATGAGCTTTCATTTTTCTACAAGCATTTTAAAGGCATATCCAAAGGAGGTGTCTCTTCCCCACCCCCCCCACCAAATTAAAGTTGACGATCTCTTCGTAGATGATTTTTGTAAACTGAATCCAACACCTGGCCCCCAGAGCAAGTAAGCTATTATCAGAGGCAAGAACATCCCACTGCTGATGTGCAGCAACCCCATCGCGCCCTGCAGCTCAACCCCCCTCCCAGTCAGTGGTCACTGGATATTGCTGCTATTACTGCCGTTGCTGTCCGTGCCATTAGTCTCTGTGGAGATTGCCTTGTTGATGGAGTTAAGGTTGCTATCGGATGGCACGTCTCTGCGCGGAGGCATTCGCTCATTAATTCGATCTAAGCCTTTGGCCTCTTCGAAGCTAGTGATCTTATGCTGGGGTGAAAATCCTTTGATAGCTAAATAAAGGATTATTAAAAAGTAAAATTAGCAAGGTAAAACTCTCGGCAGCTTTTCCCCCAGCTTAGCAATGAGTGCAAACGTCCTTCTTTGCGAAGGCGGCAATGAGAAGATCTCACAACATGACTGACTTCTTACCGTACTCAGAAAGAGCTGGAGGTTCACCACCACCACCTCTTGCAATGCAACTATTTTTTTCAACAAGATCAACTTCCAATATTTTGCTGTCCACTGAGGTTCAGCTTAAAACGCCACGAAGCTGACATGAAACTACAGTTTGCAGTCAGGAACCATGCTTGGGGCACAGCCGTGAACCGGTGAGTTGGCATTTGTTGTCATCACTTACAGCCTTAAAGACATGGTGCCTCGTCATAACAACCTTAATCAGGCTAAACTTCCACTTGGCTTTCAAAGACCAAAGGAAAAAGCTTTGGCCAGTTACAGATGGTGATGAGATGGTGAGGCCAATTAGCGGGATATACGTTAAAGCTATGTGAGATCTGGGGCGACCCTACAACAGGTTGCCTTATGTTCTCAACACAGCCGAGCTGCTTGTTGATTGCTCGGGGCAGTTACCTTCCCCGACACATCCCTGGACTTCTAGAGAGCAGCTTGAGTCAAACAGCGGTAACACTGTGCAACACAGACCAGGGATAACGTCACTTTGGCACATTCATACAATTTCACTTTGGAAACGCACTGACAAAGGACCAAAGTTCCAACTGAACCTGGGGACTTCTGATCTGCCCTCAGTAGCAACACTGATGAGGCCGCACTGACCTCAGAAGGCAGCCACAGGCTGGGGAATGTGTTTGTAGAGTGTGATTTTTATTTTAGCTTTTTCTCTCTTTAATTGAAGAGCTGAAGATCTTTAGATTTAAAGCAAAAGAGAAAAAAGCACCGTAGGCAAACAGCAGGTCACAGCTCCGTAGGTAATTTGTCATAGCCTCCTGTGTGTCCTTCTCTTATCTGCACCAAATCAATGCACTGCACTTCCAGAGCTGGCACTTTTGCTATGCCTCTATCTTAACATGTCATAGAGCAGAAACGGTGTGTTAGTACCAGGAAACTGCAAACTCCCTGAGGAGAAAATGGCAGGGGAGTTTCAAAGATCAGGTTCAATATTCCTTCCCTCCCTTTATCTTCTCTTTAGCCCAAAGCACTCCTGCTCTCCTTCCAATACGTAGTCCTGATTCTGGACCAGCAGGTAACTTCTGTTAAAATAAAGAGTGAACAAACCCAAACCCCCAGAACATCCCTGGTACCAATCTACCACTCCTGGCATTTTGGGGGGAGTGAGAAAAGCGTTTTCATGCTGATATTCTTGCCAACCATTCCTGTGAAAATGGATAGAACCCATTTGCCTCAGGATTTAGTTCCTTAGCCAGTTTCCCAAACGTTATATTGGAACTTTGTGAAGTGCAAGGGTTTTAACATGTATTATACTTCAACTGAGAAAAACAACAACAGCAACATAATGGTGATTAGTCAAGTGAGCAGGGATGGAGCAGTGAAAACAGAACAGACCCTACAGTGATTTTTTTCAAGGTTGTGGTTGTTTTTTTGTTTTGTGGTGTTCCAGCTTCCCCCCCCCCCGGCTTTATCTTCTGCCACAAAAATGAAGATGTCTAACAAGCACCAGGCCAATCCTTTAAAGCAATAGTTTAATGGATGGCTGTGTTGAAGCTCAAACGCTTGCTGTGTCCTGGAGCTTGCCAGCAGCACGGCCCGGTTGTGTCATCAGGCCCTGAACCAAACTGCAGAGGGACAACTGGGAAGGGATGAACCATCTTCTCCATCGTTACCTTCATCTACATAGACTATGGTTACAGTATCTAACTAGTGAGGATGGCAAATCAAGAATTAACTTGAAAGGTGCAGACTGGTGGAATGGGGGCACGTTCAATCGATGGTGTTTCAAGCAGACACTTTATTGTCTCTAATACCGAGGAAGGTGCTCTGCTGTAGTTGCTGGTCAGACAACGAATATTAGCAGTTTACATTGAGAGTGTACTAAAACACAACACATAGTCACAGAAAATCACAGAAAACAGCCAAACTGTCAACGAGAATGCACACTGCGGATTAGAGATTGCCGATAGGAATAGCTAATTCCAACATAAATAGCAGCTTACTCACTGCTATTTAGAAAGCAGTTGTATTTTCTCTTACTTCTTTGTTCTGTAATTTTATTCACTGCTTTACAAAAATCAAAAACAAATTCAACTGGCCAAAAGGGCACATCTTACCAACAGACAGCAATCAGATTTTTTTTTTTTTAATTAACTAAAAAAACTACACACAAAAAATTTGAGAGGGGCAAGAACAAAATACAACTGAAGAATTTTGTTTTAAAGGGGAATTCTGAAAATTCTTCTTCCAAAACTTTGTAATGCTGAATGAATATCGCGCATCTACATTGCAATACATGATTACTCTAGGTC